CATCTGACACCTTCGCCGTTGACATTCTCTCCATCTGTCGGGAAGAAGGTGCGAGTTGAGGAGGCAGCGGTAAGCATCCAACCGATTGCCATAGGCCGCCAACCACCATTGGCATTCCACGGCTGTAGATGACGGCGAACCGAAGAAACCTAAACCACGCGGCAGGCAACCGAAAGAAACACAGACAAAGACAGCGAGATTCTAACAGAAGAGACCTAAACTACGCGACAGGCAACGCATTCCTAGTCCAGAGGTTTATTCGTCCATCGATGGGAAGAGCAGGCATCAGAAGGAAAGCCGCGGCCTTTGGGCCCTCGACATTCCGCCGTCCTTCCTCCCTCTACTTAGATTCTAGTTCCTGGGTGGTGCAACGCAACGGCCTGACGCCGGCCGAGTGCGCGGCGACAGCGTGCGTGCTGTGCGTCTGTTGCCCGCTCGCCCTTCTTTGGTGCTTCGTCAAACTTCCGTGCCAGATCGTCTGGCGAGCTGCCCGCCGGGCTGCGGACTCCATTGCCGCTGTCTCCTGCTCCCGCGAGGGCGCCTGTTGCTATTCAACCGGCCGGCGCCGAGTCCTCCTCGAGGCGTCTTCCTCTTTCTCCGACCGGGAGTTTGATTGGGTCCCGCGTCCCCAGGTCCGTCTAGCTCCCGTCGTTACAACTGGTGCTACAAAGAAAGCAAAATCATCTCCCAAGTCACATTGTCTAACAGTGCAGATCAGATGATCGCCTAAAACTAATCCAGCAGCATTTCCATGTATAATTAGAGGCCACAGGTGGCGTAGCCCTTCTTCATATTTCCCCAAACCTGGTCTGCAGTGTCAATTCATGATTTGACAACCTTGAGCCTCTAGTACGATATCTCTCAATGGGGATTCAAAGCAATCGTGATGGTGGGTGTATCGGACCAATTTCCTCCAAGTCAACCGAGCTCTGCTCTGTCGAATCAGCAAAATGAAGCGAGTTGCCGAGCTTCTACTTTCCTAGACAATTGTGCGAAGGTCTGTCGAGTCCATTGTGCGATAAATTCTGCTGCTATGATTATCGGCTAGAATGAAGAAATATTTAAGATGGCTTTGAACGTTTATAAGAAAACATAAATCCCTAATAACGGGCAGCCAGTATCGTGAGACCTAACTTGAAGTCCCAGTGGTGTCTATTGAAATTGACCTAATGCTTTGCAAAGTCCTCAAAATAGAAAAGGGTATCTTGGAGTCTCTTTAAACAAAAACCTCCACTCAAGTATTCTTGCACATTTCATCATTTCTAATTCTCTTTTGCCAAAGGATTTATTTAGAATTCATTTCTTGAAACCATTACTTCAGATACATTTGTATTCAACCTTTTGCAAGGCTTCCCTTCCCTATATGCCAATGTAAATTCGTGAAGTTGATAGTTTTCAATATCTTTTCGAGGAAATGGTAAAATACATCCAAGATCCTTTTTTAAAGACAATATTATGAAGGAAAGCATTGCAATCAATGTAATGAACATAAAATTTTTGATTATTTATCGTCAAGATCATTCCTTTTTTATTATCGAGTGACCTATGATAACTTAGCTTATTAATCAGATTATTCTCATTCAAATTCAGTGTTATAACATTAGAATAATATGAAATAATATTTTTATATTAATTAGATTCTGCCACTTATTGTGTATTCTTTTAAAATTTAATTACAAAACTCTTAGGCTTTATTAATGAAACGTACCCTTATTATATACATTTCTTAGTCGAAATAAGTTTCTAATAGGAATAAAGGGGGGAAATTAATTAGTTTGGATTAGTATCTCATTTGCATGTGGTCTTCACAAATTGGATTAACATAACCCTTTTTTCAATATCACAAAATTATTAGATTTTCAGAGTGTTTTAGCTCTGATAGTTTGTATATGGCAGCATCGTATAAAATGGGGGAGAGGGTGAATTTGTGTTTGTTCATTTTTCTTCCTCACACAACTTATTCACTCTTTGTTTGAGAGACAGTAAGTCAAACACGATGATTCATGATTTTTCTATCTTAATGATATGCGCAATATTTTAAAGACAACATCCCAGGACTCTGCCAAGTCCTTAGTGATTTAGATGATGAACTCAGGGCTATAGCAACCTTCTAGACTTCACAGCTCCAGCCAAATCAGGATTTCACCCATAAATGATCATCATTAGGTTGCCCAACCAGAGGGGAATCAACTACTCTCTTATTGATACAAAGCTCTAGGTTGGCCTAGTTAAACAATAGTATCGATACAAAAAATTAAATGATCCACCCATGCATCTACAAGCTTCTTGAGGCTTCTACTTCAATCTGGACGAAACTGAAGCTTGTTGATGGAGGAGGTTACTGTAAACTTTTTCGGTAGATTTCTTCTTCCGTGTAAGCTCAAGTTGACACGTTTTCTCTCGTGGCTTTTTAACTCTCTGTCTATCTTTCTTCTTTGAGTTTAATTTTCACAAAACTTGTTTAACCCCTGCTTTCATCTAATTATGGTTTATCTGATTTTCCAGCATTTATGTACCCATCGTGCATATTGAGTTTGAACAAACTGCCTCCAATAGAAAGACAACAGTCCATTTCTCATTTTATCAAAGATAGCCCAAAATAATAGATGGATCTATTTACTTGATTGTCCACCCCTTTTTTAGGGTTGATCAATTCTAGATTCACTAAGTAACGGGTAGATTCATTTACCTAGTAACCAACGCCTCCATAATATCTTGATGATTCTGGATCTGCGAACTCAGTAGATAGTAAGATTGCTAGCTTGCCAATGATCCAATCTAACACACCTGATAGGTAGCTCCCTCAATCAGTGTAGATACATTAATTGAATACTTCCAATAACGAGATCTAAACCAATATTGCAGTTTTTCAAAGATTCAATCCTACACACCTTATGGGTAGATCCTTCACTCCTCTAGTCACATTTAATGGAGAGCTCCAGCATCAAGATCGAAAACGTTTAATCTATATCAAATAGCTCCATTACCTTGTTCAGTTACTCCTATCTAACGCCCTAATAACAAGATCCGTGACTTCTTAGACTAGTCCAATAACCTATATTCTTTTCTCAAAAGTTATTACCTGAAATAAGTCAGAGTAACTTACAGAAAAATTTTACAATGATATTTGACAAATCAGCTGTCCACTATAGGCACTTGGCAGTACCTCTATCAACCCATCTGGTAACATTAATGGAGTCTCCAATAACATGATCCGGAACTGAACATGATCAAATACAACTGATGAATAATTCTGCTAATCTCTTCAGTTGTTCTCAATGGGTGGGCCAATAAAACATTTGTGAGACCCTTGACTTAAGTCTGATAACCTATGTACCTCTTTCCTAATAAGCAATTACTTGAAATAACTTGAGTAAAGTACAGAAATATTCTATAATGATATTTTAGAGAGCAATAGTCCAATCTAGGCATACAAGTTTTTCAATCCCTTTGAACAAACTTCCTTAGGATTATTTAGTAATTATCAATTCAGTCTCAATCCAAACACATAAACGTCATAACATGATAATGTGGAACATCTATGAGCCTATTAATATATGCAATTCTATTCTTAGTCATTTGACAAAACTATCCTCCATGTGTTGTGATCAATATTGAAACAACTAAGGCTCCTGAAGCTATCAAGCATGCATTATTCCACCATTTAAAGGGCCTTATTTCAAAGTATCAGTAACTAAATTCCAACACCAACATATTTACCTTGAAGGTGGAAACAATAGTAATGGACCTAGATATTTCAGCCTCTAGACATAAAGCTTGATATAGACAGAAATGATGCCAATGAATTTGAAGATGTCATTGACAAACTTGCTACTAATGAACTCAAATATAGTGTCAAATGATAGATGAAGATCAGTGCTCTCTTGTTGTAGAACTGCCTCACTAGCAGAGAATGCCACCAAAAGAGTAGATGACAATGAACTTGCTACGAAGGCCCACTATATGGCTCTTGGCTCCTCACCTTCTTCAACCCTCTATGTCCCTTAGTATTCATCTTCCTTTGGCTCTTCCTCTTCCTCCTCTTCATCTTCCTCCTTCTCTCTATATATGGAGACATGTACCCGTCCTATTTCCTTAAGCATTACATATTCTACTTGTGTACATGGTATCAAAGTGCCAGGTTCTGCTCCGCCTCATCTACGATACCATCTCCACATTTCTTCTTGGTTCCAAGCCAGTGGCACCCTTCAGCTCTCAGTAGCGCTAGCCTTCGACACCTGTGCGTCAACTCCTGACGCCTGCACATCAACTCATAGTGCTCCATGTGTTGTCAAGGCAAGCCAGCTGTGTCCTTCTCCTCTCGGCAGCACTAGCCTTCTGATGCCACATGCGTCGACCGCCAACACCCTGTGCATCGACTCATGGTGCTCTGTGCGCCATCAAAGCAAGCCAGCAACACCCTTCTCCTCTTGGCGGTGCTAGCCTTTTGATGCTTGTTCGTCAACTACCGACACCCCACTCATCGACTCACAGCACTCCGTACATTTTTAGAGCAAGCCAGTGGCGCCCTTCTCCTCTTGGCAGTGATAGCCTTCTGATGCCTTGTGTAACAACTCTCAACACCTTGAGCATTGTCTTTTGACACCTTGAGCATCAGAATCTCTTGTTTTCCAACTGAATCTCCCAGCCGGTGGATCTCTAGGTGGCGACTCTCCTTACCGTGGGAGGAGACTATTCATCTTCTCATCTGGCGACTTCTGCCTTGCAACATGACCGCCTGGCGTCATGGCCAACTTAGACTCTTCTGCACCTCAACTGAATCCACCGACCGATGCTGGCACAACCTTAGTTGATCCACTTGCAATTGCTCATGTCCTACCCACCAGAGTTCAAACTCAGCTCCAAAATCCTTGTCTGGTGCTGAGGAAGGAGGTACGAATTACCTTTAATGGGCACATAACTTTGGTCATTTTCTCGATGTTCAAGGGTGCCGGCAATACCTCATTGATCTTCCTCCCAAGAAAGATCCTCATTGCCCTATGTGGACAGCTCTCTTTGCCAACATCGAATTTCTCGACACGACTAAAGAAATGTGGGATACTCTCAATAGAGCTTTTGGTACTTGTTAAAACTAAATTTATGTGTTTTAATTAGTTTTATTATTTGATTTTATTTTTTAAAATTATAAAATAAATATAGGATATATTGTTAATTTTAAAATTCTAAAGTTAAAATGCTTAACATAATTTTTTATTATTAAAATAAAAATAATAAAATATAAAAATATCTTCCACCCACTAGCAAGCCGACACTTGGCAGTTGACCTAGAGGGGGGAGTTGAGTGGGTAGACCCAGACTAGGGGAGCCACGAGCTGGGTTTCAATGGCAAAGACCTCATTCTGCACACGTGTGCATTGCTCCCCTTCTACGTCCTAGTGGCCAACCGATCATAAGGTAAGGAGTGCTTATACACACATGCATGTGCAAGGGTAGACCACCTTATTACCTTCTTCCAAGATGGTCATGGACATTATTTTATTTTGAGAGAAGAGATCTTTGCTGAGAGACCATAGCTTTAGTTTATATTTGGCATATGGTTCAAAATATTTTTGATGTGGGACTAAACATTTTCATCTATTTCAGTGCAACCATCTAGAGCGCTGAGTGATCTAGTGGTATGTAGAGAGCCAGGTCATCTAATTAGCCTGATCCTATGGCTAGAGAACCACCATGATACTAGTTTGATTATCTTTAAAATCCCAATGGTGGTCATGAATACATAATCTGTTCTTCTCTCCTCTTGCGTGATCGATGTCTCTAGTGATTGGCAAGCTCGTTCCTTCCTCCCCCGACTCCACTCAAGGCCTTCGATGAGTGGTCAGCTCTTCCTTTCTCTCCCTAGATGACAGTGATAGCATGGTTGACCTCTCTTTCAGCGGGTCTCTCGAACAAGCAGTGTAGCACATTTGGATGATACTTCCGCGACTTCTGATGTGGTATGGCATGTCTGAACAAAATCAAGCCGCTACACCAGTGTCTCTAGTCGTCTAAGAGGCAAACTAAACTTGGGCAATGATTTATTTCAAGTTTTCAGTATTTACTTACCTACTTTTGCCATTTTTTTATATTTTACAGCAAGTTTTTTCTATTTCATGTACATTTCGATTGAAATGAGTAGAACTAATTCAAAACTTGATGAATGATCTTCATTCTTCTTCTCAATCCTCTAAAACTCATCTAAGATCATGTTAAAATTGTTCATAACTTATTTTCTACTATTTTTCACAATCGAATCTTGACGTATTCATGTTCTTAGCATTCACGAATAACGAGTATTTTTCTATTTTGGAATATAAAATAAGTTGGAGACATTCACGGCTGACCTCATGTCATGTGTGTGAATCCTCGAGCACACATTCATGCGAGAAAATGGGTTGATCGTATTTCTCTCTTTCTTCATTTTTGTCTTATTTCTCTCTCTCCCTCTCTCATGAGACCTCTCTTCTCTCTCCATCTCTTGTAAGATCTCTTCCTTTCTCTCCCTTTCTCTCAATTGATCTCCTTCTCTTTCTCTCTCTCAATTGATCTCCCTCTCTCTCCTTCTCTTTCTCTCTCTCAATTGATCTCCCTCTCTCTCCTTCTCTCTCTCTCTCTCCTGAGACCTTTCTCTCTCTTCGTCTCACATGAGATTTCTCTCCTCCTCTCTCTTTCTCTTCCTTTTGCAAGAAATCTCATCCCTTCTCTCTCTTGTGAGAGTTCTCTCTCCTCCTCTCTCTTTCTCTCTCTTTCACAAGAGATCTCATTCCTTCTCTCTCTCATGATAGCTTTCTCTTCTCTCTTTCTTCTCTCTCTTTTCCTCCTTCCTTTTCTCCACTTTCCTTCCTTTATTCTCCTCACCTCATCATTCTATTTTCTTATTCCAACTAAATATTAATAAAATATTAAAATCACTTTATATATAAACTAAATTAGTTTTCACGGTAGATTAATCAATCTCTCTATGTTCGACCTAGCATTGCCTTTACGATGAATATTTTTGGAAACATCATGAAGATGCATGCACCGCCTCTCCTTTTCACACCATTATTCTCACCATACAAAAGCTTGGCAATCTGCTTGATCAGTACCAATCCGTGATGACAGACACGGCCAATCAATGGTGCTATCGCCAAGAATTTCTAGTAACTACATATCTCAATGTGATTGATCCAACTCTAGCTTCTCATGTACAAGGCTCTATATTAAATGGCATGACCTCTCTAACATTAGTGGAGACCTTTAACATAGTCGAATGAGTAGCTCCTCTCGTCTCCCCATTGACTCTAGTATCATTGAAGATATCATCACCCGTCTTCGAAGTTTTGACTATGAAACTTACTACTCAAGAAGTAGGATGAAGAAGGGGCCTTACCCCTCGTGGCGAGAAAGGGAAGAATGGCTATGGAGCTTCTTTGAGTAGGGGTCACCTTCCTCTATACAAACATTGTGGGAGGACCAATGATAAGTCTTTATTATCATGAGTTAATAATTAGTAAATAATATTTTTTTAGCCTTAACTCATGATAAATAGACTTATACTTGTGTTAAAGTGTGAAAAGTGATTTTTAGTTGATTAATGTGAATTTTTAGGTAATTAGTCAATTTTATATGAATTTATATGATTTTTATAGTCTTACTTTTGAGATAAATGAAGAAAAAGAAATAAAAATAAAAATATAGCAAAATAGGAGGGCACTCGCCAGCCAACTGGGCTCACAAGCGAGTCAAAAGTGTAGTCGGGTAGGAGCCGCAAATAGGGGCTTGAGCGACAAGGACTAATAGGGGCACGTGTGCACCACTCCCCTTCCACATCATTAGTGGCCAGCTAGTTGTGAGACAAGGAGTGGTCGTACATGCGGGAGAAAGGGACTTGCTTGTAAATATAATATTAGTATATATTCGCTTAAAACTTCAGTGCACAAATAATGTGGGACTAAACCTACGTCACACCTTTCCTGAAAAGGCTTTGATAATTTTAATACTTATAATACCCCTTATTCATAATAGAGATATATTATGATGACGTTATTTTATAAAGGCATTAGAATACTTATGTCAATCTCTCTCATATAGACAAGCAACCAATGTAGGTTCAAATCCTCTTAGAGGCAAAGCTCATATTTTTTATCTAATTATTGTGACTTTCCTACAAATTGTCGATAAAGGATTAAGTCACTAGAATCGCTAGATCATCAGCGAAAATCTCATCAACATAATTCGTAGAGTATTGTTACTAAAATTACTAAACGATTCATGTTAAAAGAATCGTGAATCCATCGAGTAAAGCATCTTTGATTGATCAATGAACAAGCTGTAGTTAGGAAGAGGACGATCCACTAAGAGATGAGTCTCCACCTTTGAAGAGTTTACCAGATACAATGAAGAACCTCATCTTATTGTGCGGACTTGAGGATAAAGCTCTTTGACATGCGCCTCACCTCTATTCAACTCCTCTCCATCGAGTGACAACTGCTAAAGAGTCACAAAGTAGTCATTTTTCTGCTCCGTCGGGTGACAACTACCAAAGATGATTCAACAACCTATTTCATTGATCTCTAGACTTTGCAAGGAGATCTAAAGATTGCCCACATCATCCTTGTCCAAGGAGAGCCTACAAAGCCATAGACATTACACGACAATCCTCTTGAATGCTTAGGATTTTGGTGCATCACCGACACATTACCACCATGATGCCAAAACTCTTTTATCTTGCTTTCAACTTACTTTACGCTTCATTTAGTGATAATTTGTGTGATTTAAATTTACCAAGATATACTTCATTCAATTACAACTCTTTCGACTTTTACAAATCTTAATTTGATTAATTAAATTATCTGTAATCACTTACATAAGAATCACCAAGCAGAACTCTATTTTTGCCTGATTTGCATTCACCAGGAGCTAATGTCATTCTAACGTCCGCACCCTTATTTCTCTTTTTTGTGAATTTTAAATATAACTTTTTTCATTTTTTATTAGTATAAAATTCATAGAAAATATTATTCTTTGAGGAAAAATTCTAAATAATTACTTGATATTATATTACATCCTTGTGATTGACCTGAAAAATTACTACTATTTTTGAAAGTTATATTGAATTATAATTGATATATTTATTTTGAAATACTTCTAAATATCTGAAAATTCATATTTTCTAGTTATATAAATTTTAAATTTACGTGATTTACTATACAACGACTAAGTCACATCAATCAATCATTGGGTGACTAAGCACTACAAAAAGTTTAGTTATCCATCTAAGTGGTTGGGCCCACTTATTTCAAGTGGGTTCTATGCACACTGTGCCACCTTTTCATTACTAGTTACTATCTCTTCACCCTAACAAGGATCCTTTTCAAGACTAGCTCTAACTCTTGCATAGGTAACCGAAATCTCTATGTCTCGTGAGGAGTATGATTAGTGGATATGTCGTAAAGAGGTGGCTTTGACTTCCCACACATTACACCACGCATCGCACCACATATTGCACCACACTTCATCTTCCAACATAGGTACTGTCTTTCTAACATCCGTTGCTAAATCTAAGACTTGGATTATTGATTTAGGGGCATCTGCTCACATGTCAAGTATCTTATCTCTCCTTTCCCGACTCTAGAATCTGACCTACCCCAAAACTATCATGATCATTCATAGTCATCTCTATTTGTCACCAGAAAAGGAGATGCTAAACCTACTTCTTCCATGTCCCTGTTTAACATCCTCTATGTCCCTAACCTTGACGTCAACCTCCTCTCTTAAACCTACTTCTTTCATCTCCCTATCTAACGTCTTTTATGTCTCTAATTGTGACATCAACCTCCTCTCTATTAGTGCAATTACTAAAGCTCTTTATTACTCTATTCAATTTTTTTCCTATCATTATATTTTTCAAGCTTTGCAGACTAAGGTGTGGATTAGTTTGAATAAAGAGATTGGTTGAGGCCTATATGAGCCTATTCCGAATACTCCAACTATTGGTCTATTATGCCTACTATCTACAAAGAGTTCTTTACTTATGTGGCATTATTATTTTGGCCATCCAAACTGTTTGAAATTACATGAGGCCTTACTTAGACTTTCTCTATCTCATTTTAAATGTGAATCTTATGAACTTGGAAAATATTTTCATTCGACATACCATCAATGCGATTCACCATCATGCGACCAGCCATTTGAATTGATTTATTGTGATGTTTGGGGGCTTGCATGCGTCGCTTTGATTTCTAGTTTTTGCTACTACATGGTCTTAATTGACGATTTCTCATGTGCCTTATGGGTCTACCTCCTTATGGATCAAACTGCAGTCCTTCCCCATCTTTGAGAATTCTTTCAAGAAGTATGAACCTAGTGGAACACTACGCCTAAAATCTTTTGAATGGATAACACTCTTGAGTTTACATAATCTACAATTCAAAAGCTCTACAAATTACTTGGAATCATTCATCAAACAATATGTCAACATACGTCCCAACAAAATAGAGTAGCAGAACGAAAGCACTAGCATATCTTAGACATGACTTATACCATCATGCTTGAAATGGGAGTTCCTAATTACCTATGGGCCAACATTGTCCTCACATCCACATACCTCATGAACCACTTTTTGTCATCTCTCTTAGGCAGCAAAATTCTCCTTTGTCATCTCAATCCCAATAGTGACCTCTTCTCTCTACCCCCACAAGTTTTTGATTGTGTGGTATTTATACACGACCATACCCTAAACAAGTTTAAGCTTGCCCCTCGTGCACTAAAAGGTGTATTCGTTGGCTACTCACGAACACAAAAAGGGTATCGTGTCTATCTTCCTTGAGAGTAGAAGTATTTGGTGTCAATGGATGCTAACTTCCATGAGGAGTTCAAGTACTTTATTAGAGTGCCCTCTTTGGCGCTTCCATTCATACCTCAACCAAAGGACACCTCATCTTCATCCTTGTCTAATTCTAACACTTCACCAAACATCACTATCTCCTTATCATTACCACCTCGAGAAGACTCATCGGTAGCAACTCTTAGACCAATCTCTCTATAAGAACCCAATCAATCCACAATGCTATCTACAAATCTAGTGGTTCTAGATGATCTTCATCTGCCTATTGCTCTTCGAAAAGGTACACGCTCCTACACTCTTCACTCATTTCTTCTTCTATCTCTTATGATCTTTTTTCTATATTTTATCAGGCCTTTGTCCTATCATTGGCTACTAAATCAATACCCAAGTCTCACATGGATGCTATGGCAGTACCTCATTGGAAGGCGGCCATGGATGAGGAATATGTGGCCTTCATCCATCAAGATCATTCCTCAACCACGTGATACTAACATTGTTTCTTGTAGATAGGTTTACACCTAGAAGGATCTTCCAGATGGCACTATTCATTACTATAAAACTCGACTAGTGACATGCGGCTTTTCTCAACAGTATGGCATCAACTACGAGGAGACCTTCTTTCTTGTAGTCCATATAAGTTCGGTACGTATCATTGTTTCTATGATAGTCAACCTTGACTGACCTCCACACCAACTAGATGTCTCTAATACTTTTTTCTATGGAGATCTCGACAAAGAAGTTTATATGGTGCAATCTCCCAACTACATGATCAAGGCAAAATCTGTCAAAGTATTTCATCTTCACAAAGCCATCTATGATCTCGAACATAGTCTTTGAGCTTGGTTCACCAAATTCAGCACCCTCGTTTGGCAATGTGATTTCTCGAAGTGCAAAGTGGAGCTTATAGTTTTTCACAAGGCCACCACAAATAGATGTACTATTCTTGCCGCCTACATGGATGATATGATTGTCATGAGGAGTGATATGGCCAGTATTTAAGATATCAAGATGTTTCTTCAGGAACATCTAGATATTGGGGACTTGAGGACTCCCAAGTAATTTTTGGGCATAGAGTTTGCCTTCTGCCTAGGAGAGAATGTCCTTGACTAACTCAAGTATGTACTTGGTCTTTTGCAAGAAATGAGACTACTCGGATGCAAGCTACATGCATCTCTAATCGAAAGTTAGACAAATTTCTAGGACTCGACTTTGTCTCTCTTTACCAATCCTCACCCATATCAACATCTTGTTAGAAAGCTCATTTATCTCACTATCACACGACTTGACATTACCTATACAGTTATTCTTAGACAAGCTATGCATGAACCCTAATACAATCATTGGGAGGCTGCCCTCAAACTTCTCACCTATCTCAAATATGCTCTTGGACTAGGAATCACTTTTCACTGCCATAAACATCTTCCCATGGTTGACTACTCAGGCTCTAATCTGGTCGACAATTATGTAGATTGGAAGTCTACCATGGGCTATTATATCTATGTTAGAAGAAATCTTGTGACATGATCTAGTCACAAGCAATGGGTCCCTTGCTTCTCTAATGTTGAGGTCAAATATTGACCCATGATGGATATGTTGTCGTGCATACCTTGGGTGCACAACCTACTTCAAGAGTTGGGTTATCTAGTGTAAGGTGTTATGCTTATGTACTATGATAATTAGGTGGTGATCTTCATAGCAAATAATCTAATGTTTCATTTGTGAACCATGCATATCTAGTGATAAATCTTCATTATCATGAGTTAATAATTAGTAAATAATATAGTTTTAGCCTTAACTCATGATAAATAGACTTATATTTATATTAAAGTGTGAAAAGTGGTTTTCAATTAGTTAATGTGAATTTTTAGGTAATTATGTGATTTTACATGAATTTATATGATTTTTACAATTTTGCTTTTGAGATAAATAAAGAAAAAGAAATAAAAAATAAAAATAAGACAAAAATGAGGGGGACCTGCTGGCCAGCTAGGCCCGCAAGTGGGTTGAAAGCTCAGTCAGAGAGTAGCCGCGAGCAAGGGCTCAAGTGGCTTGGACAAATAGGGGCATGTGTGTGCCATTCCCTTTCCACGTCACCGATGGCTTGCCAGCTATGGGGCAAGGAGTGGTTGTACACATGAGAGAAGGAACTTTGCTTTAAAATATAATATTACTATATATTCGCTTGAGAAATCGGCGCACGACCAACTAGCACGGGTTTGAGTCCTTCCAGAGTTAAAAGTTATATATTTTTATCTAATTATCACGACTTTTCTGCAAATCATTGGTGAAGGATTAAGTAACAAGAATTGCTGGATCATCGGCAAAAATCTCGTCAACGTGATTCGTGAAGCAATGCTACTAAGATTGCTGAACAATTCACGATAAAAGGATCACGAATCCATCATATAAATCATCTCCGATTGATCGACGAACAAGCCGTCATCGGGAAGAGGACGATCTGCTGGGAGACGAGTTGCCACCTCCTTACAACATACTAGATGCGATGAAGAGCCTCTTATTACTGCGTGAACCTGAGGATGAAGCTCCCTAACACACGCCCTACCTCCATTCAGCTCTTCTTTGTTGGGTGATAGCTGCCAGAGAGCCGCAAAGTCGTCGTTTTTCCACTCCACCAGGTGACAGCCACTAGAGATGATTCAACGACCCATTTCATTAATCTCTAAACTTTGTAAAGAGATCTAAAGATTGCTCACATCATCTTTGTCCAAGG